GGTAGTGCGTGTGGAGGGAACCTCACGGAAGAGCCCTGTACAGGGAGTGGTGGTTTTTAAAATACAAGTTTTATGTAATCAAAGTGTCTATAAAATAATATGATGTTTCTATATCCAATTTTTTGCTTCCACTATCAATATTTAGGTGCAGCTTATGAAGACATCCCTCTTACCAACATGAGACAGGTGTGTACTGTATACCAAGCCCACTGTTATTATTACAGTGAAAATAGTTGCATCACGACCTGACGTTTCAAACTGGCCGTGTTGGTAGACTTCATTTGCATAAACCCAAGATGATTGACAGCTCAGAAAAGACCAAAATCCAATCAGGGTTTTGAAACGGTAGGTCGCGATGCAACGATTTTTGCTGTAACTCAATGAAATGGTAAGTCCAATCCAATCCAGAGTCACTTGAAGTAACTTAAGATTTCGTTGATTTTTATTGTGTTATTTTTTAAAATCTTATTTTAGGTCATTGCAAAGAGGCTTGTATTGTCAAAACAGACTATCCCTCATTACTACTTGTCTTTGGATATTGCAATGGATGAGTTAATGGCGTATGTATTAACAACCAAAAGCTTTACATTTCACCCTACTTTACATTAGTTCAATCGTCATCAAAGTCAAAACAGATAACAATAGTAGCAGTAGCAGTTTCACATTTATCCACTGGAATTTATAAACTCCAGTGGGTGAATTCATTGGATAACAGCATTGACTTGTCAAATGGACAAGGATTTATCCATTAGATAGCCTACCCACCCTTTGTACAACTGTGCCCTGTTTTTTTATGCAGTGTGTATAAAACTGGAAGAACCTGACAAAAAAATCACTCAATGCAATGCACTGTAGAGAACCAACTACTGTATGGTACTCGCATATAGTGATAAGTCCAGGAAACAAACCTGGGTCACAATGTAGGGCTTAAAGATAATAATGACAGGTCATTAGACAAGTTCAGGCCAGAATTGAAACTTGTCTGGTTCATATCTTTGCCTTGCCAGTCATTGACCAGCACCATTGTCAAACCAGAAATGAACTGTATATTTGCCTTGCCTGTCATTTTGACCAATAACGTTGAACCAGAAATTTGGCCAGTTATCATGACTGGCAACTACAGTACCTGGCTTTTATCATTTCAAGCCCTGCAGTGGAAGGCCAGTCACCGGGAGTGATATCGTCAAGTCCAAATAACCCCCATCTCCATCACCCTTTTTATATTCCCTCTCTTTTCAATGTAATTTCCCCAGGGGGGTACTCCCATATATGGACTATACTATGATCCGCTGAACAGGGTATGGTTTTTTAAGCTTCTTGTCATAAACAGGGTATGCAATTTCACTCAAGTTCCAAGTTCTTCCTGAGCTTCCTGTCATATTCAGGGTTTCTACTTTCGTATTGACCGAAACTGGTTATTATGGTCGTCAAAAAAATATGCGAGCTGACATGATAATTGAAACAGGAACTCAGTGCAATAAATTATATCTTTTGTCATAAACAGGGTCTACAAATTTGAGTTTTTTGTCATAAACAGGGTACCCCTTTCAGAATTTCCCAGCGGAACACCCCTACCCAAATTCTGGCGGAGTACCCCCCCGAGGTAATTTCAACCATAAAGCTGCAAATATAAAGTAAATAATATAGATGTTCCTGAGAGACAGGTGAAAGGTGAATCCTTTCATTACTAATGATGTAACCCTCTATTTCATTATTGTAAGTTATTAAATTAACAATGTGTTCTGTTCTTGACATTATTGCAGCATAAGAAAACAGTTAAATGAACAATACAAAGGAGAGTTTAAGTTGTCAGTCAATGACTTTATCATCAAAGCTTGTGCTCTTGCATGTAAAAAAGTTCCTGAAGCCAACTCCTCCTGGATGGGAGAGTTTATTAGGAAGTAAGTCACAGTACATACCCAATGATAAACTAATATAGCAGTTTATGGGTAGGGATGAAGGGAGCTGCTATGTAGGTTAGGGTCCTGTTACACTGTGCAATTTTCTCAGCAACTTGTCTTGCAATGCTTGAAAATGTACATGTATCATTACAAGTTGCTGAGGTGAGGTGTTACACTGCAACGCAATCTCAGCAACTTGCAACATGTTTTGAAAATGAAAATTAATGTGGGCATGCGCTTTTGAAAAATATTGTAAAAATTGTAAAAAAAATTATAAAATTGTTGGAGGGGTGATACACTGTGCAGTGGCATTGCAAGTTGCTGCAATTTGCAAAAAGTAGAACTGAGTTCTACTCTTTGCAATGTTACGTGAAACAAAAAAAATTGCGAGACAACTGCAGTTACGCTGTTACACTTTTCGCTGTTACCTTATTGTGATGTAAAAAATCTACATGTTGTGTCCGTAATCTTACATTTGCATTTAATATCTTGTCTTGAACTCGAAAGCCTCAAAGATAATATCGCTGTTGATTGAAAAAAATGAATATGACTCATGGAATGTGATTTCCAGTGTTTTGAGGGGCATTTGCAATATTTACACTGTACAAATAAATAGTTTTAATATTGAATAAATATTATTTTGTGTCCAGGTATGAGAATGTTGATGTGTCTGTTGCCGTCAGTACAGATAATGGTCTTATAACACCTATTGTTTTTGATGCCGATAAAAAGGTTTGTATAAAGTTTGCTTAAAGGACATTATTATCAAGCCATTCATTCCTTTTTTGGGTAATTGTGCAAAACATCCATTCAAGCCCCAAAGAAATTGGGTAATTGGAGGGTAGTTGATTTAACGGTAATCCCCATCCAAACTTGTATGAAAAATTTTTTAAAGTGCCTATACCACCAAACTTTATATTTTCAGTATTGATTCTACATTATAAACTGAATATTTGAATGGTAAAAAAAWTTCATAAGATTTGGGTGATGCATCTTGAAGATATCAAGGTTAATACTTCTAATATGTTAATGAGTGTCATGTCATTATAGGAATTTGAGTTTGCTTCTCATCGTTTTTAAATTGCAACACTGATTACTATGAGAAAACAAATTTGCTATTAATGTTCTATAAAACCCTGAGTAAGACAATGATGTTATATGCAGGATACTTTACTGCCCTAAAAAAGTTTTGTATATTTAATCATGCCTATTAAATGACATCACACTCAGTAGCATATTGGAATTATAAACCTTGATATCTTCAAGATGCATCACTCGAACCATATGAAATTCTTTTACCATTCAAATATTCACTTTATGTAGAATCAATGCTGAAAATATTAAGTTAAGTGGTATAGGCACTTTAAATTATTAAAAGATGTAAGAACTTCGTTATTTAAAAAGCAAAAAACTGAGGTTTTAAATATCGTTGCTTGCTTTTTTTCTGTCAGGGTTTATCATCAATCAATGCAGATGTTCTTTCATTAGCTGACAAAGCAAGAACCAATAAACTTCAACCACATGAATTCCAGGTAACAATTTATTTACATAGACTCTAAAATATGCCAGTAAAATTTTAACAAAGTTATCCTCCATGAATTTCAAATTCCTATAGCTCTCCAATAACCATGACAACAATATAATTGCCTAGACGAGTCCAGGCTTCAAAATCCACACCTTTAATCATAGAGTAGACTTAACTACAGTGGTATTGAACATGTGCAATACTCCATTTTACAGTTCCGTTCGAGTGACCAGGAATAATAGTTGCAAGCCGATGCTGCAGTTTCCTCGCATAGCAAAACTATATTTTTTATCATGCACGGAAACTCCAGCCTCGGCTTGAAACGAAACTGTAAAATGGAGTATTGTATGAAAGCTATAGATAGTATGTAGTCATAACTGAGCTTGGACCACACTGATTACATACATGTAATCTCTCCACACGTCATCTTATATAAAACTTATATTAACTTATAACTTAACTTGTTAACATACATTAACTTAAATACCCAGGCCTCTCGCTTACATAGGAATATATTTTTCTCTCCATTCCAACTCGCAAGCTCCTTGGTCATTACAAGAGATTAATCTAATTTTATTACTATCCACCCATTCTGCAATTTGTAATTTGCACTTGGTTTTAAGACATCATAATTATGATTCGGATTGATATTTATGATTGAGGGAAGACTATTGCCAGTGTAGAATTCTATGTCGTATGAAATCTGTGCTAATTTTTTTTTTTTTTTTTTTTTTGGAGAGTTACATGA